CCTAGGACTCCTCAACAAAATGGAGTAGTTGAAAGAAAGAACAGGACTCTTGAAGATATGGCTAGGACTATGCTTCTTTCTAGTAAACTGCCCCAAAACTTCTGGGCAGAGGCTGTAAACACTGCATGTTATATCATCAATAGATGCATGACTAGACCTCTTGTAGAGAAGACTCCCTATGAGTTACTTAAAGGGAGAAAACCAAATATATCCCATCTTAGGGCATTTGGATGCAAGTGCTTTGTGCACAATAATGGAAAGGACTCCCTAGGTAAGTTTAATCCCAGAAGTGATGAGGGAGTATTCTTGGGATATTGTTCACATAGCAAAGCATATAAAGTGTTCAATAAAAGAACTTTGTGTGTATAAGAAAATGTGCATGTAGTATTTGATGAAACTAACATTCTTTCTGATAGACAGGAACATGAAGATGAAACTATTGGGCTGGTAAAAGATTTGACTGAAGTCTCAGCTCAAGCTAAAGTAGAACCAAAAGAAGGAACAGGTGATGGAACAGGTTCTTCCACCCAGGGCAACCTGATAGGGGGAACTAATCAAAGAGGAACTGAAACCAATCCTCTAAAGGAACCTGTTCATAACTTTGTTCCTCAACAATAGAACATGGGAGAAACATCAAGTAGAAATTAGTTGGTTGTGAAACCTCACAAGTATCAAAGTTCTCGTCCTATTGAGAACATAATTACTGATCCAACCTCTGGAGTCAAAACTAGATCACAATTAAAGAATTTGTGTGCTTTTGATGCTTTCCTATCTCTTATTGAACCTAAACATGTTGTTGAGGCTTTGCAGGATGCAGATTGGGTAAATGCAATGCAAGATGAACTCAATCAGTTCGAGAGAAGTCAAGTTTGGCATTTAGTTCCAAGACCCAAGGATAGATCAATAATTGGCACAAAATGGGTCTTCAAAAACAAACTTGATGAAGATTGAACAGTTACCATAAACAAGGCAAAACTGATGGTCCAAGGTTACATCCAAGAGGAGGGTATAGACTATGATGAGACTTTTGCTCCTGTTGCAAGACTAGAGGCAATAAGACTCCTCATAGCTTTTGGAACACACATGGAATTCACTCTTCATTAGATGGATGTCAAAAGTTCCTTCCTAAATGGCTACCTAAAAGAAAAAGTGTTTGTGAAACAACCTCCAGGGTTTGAGAGCAAGGAATATATTAAGCATATGTACAAATTAGACAAGGCTCTCTATGGACTCAAGCAGGCTCCTAGAGCATGGCGTGAATGACTGTCCAAATTCCTGCTTGAACATGGCTACAAAAGAGGTAAAATTGACAGTACTCTATTCTTGAGGGGAAAAGGTAAGGATCTTCTCATGGTACAAATATATGTTGATGACATAATTATTGGGGCCACCACTGACAAACTAAGTAAGGATTTTGCCAAATTAATGGGGAGTGAATTTGAAATGAGTATGATGGGTGATCTTAACTTTTTCTTAGGGTTACAGATCAAACAAAGCCCAAATGGAACCATGATCCATCAGTAGAAATATGCAAAGGAGCTGATCAAAAAGTTTAAAATAGATGAATCAAAGAAAATAGACACCCCCATTGCAACTACCACTAAATTAGACATAGATGAACCTGGTTCATCTATTGATCAGAAGTTGTATAGGGGTATGATTGGTTCACTTTTGTATCTTACTGCCAGCAGACCTGACATAGTTTTCAGTATGGGGCTTTATGCTTGCTTTCAGGCCAATCCAAAAGAATCTCACTTGACTGTTGTCAAGAGGATACTGAGATATTTGAAAGGCACTACTGATCTATGTCTTTGGTATCCTAAAGGTAGTAATTTCAATCTAATAGGGTATGCTGATGCTGATTATGCAGGTTTCCTTATGGATAGGAAAAGCACCTCAGGTATGGATCATTTTCTTGGTTCATGTCTTGTATCATGGGCCACAAAAAAAGCAAAATTCAGTGGCTTTATCCATTGTTGAGGCTGAATATGTTGTTGCTGCCTCTTGTTGTGCTCAATTGCTATGGATCAAACAGCAGCTGGTAGATTTTGNAATTTGGTTGGACTCCTCTGCTTTATTGACTTTATGTGTGCTCCTTTCTCATATGGGCGGGCTTTTGACTTCAACCCGTAATGTCAAACTACATTTCCATTCTGTTCTTCAGGTGGGNGTAAACACTGCATGTTATATCATCAATAGATGCATGACTAGACCTCTTGTAGAGAAGACTCCCTATGAGTTACTTAAAGGGAGAAAACCAAATATATCCCATCTTAGGGCATTTGGATGCAAGTGCTTTGTGCACAATAATGGAAAGGACTCCCTAGGTAAGTTTAATCCCAGAAGTGATGAGGGAGTATTCTTGGGATATTGTTCACATAGCAAAGCATATAAAGTGTTCAATAAAAGAACTTTGTGTGTATAAGAAAATGTGCATGTAGTATTTGATGAAACTAACATTCTTTCTGATAGACAGGAACATGAAGATGAAACTATTGGGCTGGTAAAAGATTTGACTGAAGTCTCAGCTCAAGCTAAAGTAGAACCAAAAGAAGGAACAGGTGATGGAACAGGTTCTTCCACCCAGGGCAACCTGATAGGGGGAACTAATCAAAGAGGAACTGAAACCAATCCTCTAAAGGAACCTGTTCATAACTTTGTTCCTCAACAATAGAACATGGGAGAAACATCAAGTAGAAATTAGTTGGTTGTGAAACCTCACAAGTATCAAAGTTCTCGTCCTATTGAGAACATAATTACTGATCCAACCTCTGGAGTCAAAACTAGATCACAATTAAAGAATTTGTGTGCTTTTGATGCTTTCCTATCTCTTATTGAACCTAAACATGTTGTTGAGGCTTTGCAGGATGCAGATTGGGTAAATGCAATGCAAGATGAACTCAATCAGTTCGAGAGAAGTCAAGTTTGGCATTTAGTTCCAAGACCCAAGGATAGATCAATAATTGGCACAAAATGGGTCTTCAAAAACAAACTTGATGAAGATTGAACAGTTACCATAAACAAGGCAAAACTGATGGTCCAAGGTTACATCCAAGAGGAGGGTATAGACTATGATGAGACTTTTGCTCCTGTTGCAAGACTAGAGGCAATAAGACTCCTCATAGCTTTTGGAACACACATGGAATTCACTCTTCATTAGATGGATGTCAAAAGTTCCTTCCTAAATGGCTACCTAAAAGAAAAAGTGTTTGTGAAACAACCTCCAGGGTTTGAGAGCAAGGAATATATTAAGCATATGTACAAATTAGACAAGGCTCTCTATGGACTCAAGCAGGCTCCTAGAGCATGGCGTGAATGACTGTCCAAATTCCTGCTTGAACATGGCTACAAAAGAGGTAAAATTGACAGTACTCTATTCTTGAGGGGAAAAGGTAAGGATCTTCTCATGGTACAAATATATGTTGATGACATAATTATTGGGGCCACCACTGACAAACTAAGTAAGGATTTTGCCAAATTAATGGGGAGTGAATTTGAAATGAGTATGATGGGTGATCTTAACTTTTTCTTAGGGTTACAGATCAAACAAAGCCCAAATGGAACCATGATCCATCAGTAGAAATATGCAAAGGAGCTGATCAAAAAGTTTAAAATAGATGAATCAAAGAAAATAGACACCCCCATTGCAACTACCACTAAATTAGACATAGATGAACCTGGTTCATCTATTGATCAGAAGTTGTATAGGGGTATGATTGGTTCACTTTTGTATCTTACTGCCAGCAGACCTGACATAGTTTTCAGTATGGGGCTTTATGCTTGCTTTCAGGCCAATCCAAAAGAATCTCACTTGACTGTTGTCAAGAGGATACTGAGATATTTGAAAGGCACTACTGATCTATGTCTTTGGTATCCTAAAGGTAGTAATTTCAATCTAATAGGGTATGCTGATGCTGATTATGCAGGTTTCCTTATGGATAGGAAAAGCACCTCAGGTATGGATCATTTTCTTGGTTCATGTCTTGTATCATGGGCCACAAAAAAAGCAAAATTCAGTGGCTTTATCCATTGTTGAGGCTGAATATGTTGTTGCTGCCTCTTGTTGTGCTCAATTGCTATGGATCAAACAGCAGCTGGTAGATTTTGGCATTGAAGTTGGTTGCATTCCTATATTTTGTGATAACACTAGTGCTATAAGTATGACAAAGAACCATGTTCATCATAAGAGGACTAAGCACATAGATGTTAGATGCCACTTCTTAAGAGATAACTATGAGAAAGGATTGATCTCCATAGAATTTTGTGCTACTGATAAACAAATTGCTGACACCTTCACTAAAACACTAAGTAGAGAAAACTTTGAGAGGAACAAGTTGGAATTAGGGATGATTAAGATCACCTAATAGGTCCAACTCAGAATGCACAATGAAAAAAAATTAAAATGAAAAAAAATATTTGGCTAGGAAATCTGAACTTGTGTAAATATCTAGATTAATTTTTACTCAGCTTCATACTGTAATTAGTATACTCCTGTGATATGTGTTAATTGACACATTGATTTCTTACAAAATTTTCTCTATTATGGTAAATTGAGGCATGTTCAAGAGAATTCTAAATGAAGAACCTGGTTCATCAGTATGTGTTCATCTGAAAGCTAAGGTATGTTTTCTATACTCTGCACAATTAGAAATATCAATATTTAAATCATGAGTAGAAGTCCTACAATTCTTCAATTCCTTAAAAAATTCTATCTGTTAGCTTTGAACCAGTTCCGTCAGCCTAGAACTCTAAACCACAAAAATTGCCTAAAATCTAGGGAAGTTAAACCGATCATTCAAACATGCAATTTTAGTTTGATTAGACCTCTAATTGACCACTGCTAAAGCTGATGTTACACATTAAATGTGTATTTCTCTTTAAATACACATCATTCCTTTTGCCATCTCTAAAATTCCAAACCATCAAAAATTCCTCTTCACTTTCACTTGCCCTCTTCTCCAAAATTCTAACTCACAAATTCTCTCAAGAAATCAACGATCATGACCAACCCACAAGACAATCCTGGAACTCCTCCACCATCCACTCCCTCTAATTCATCTACACCTCCTCCACCTAGTACATCTCCCAAACCCAGGCTGAAAAGGGTGAAAATATTTGCTCGAAAAACAATAGCATCTGGGGCTCTCAGAAAGAAATTAAATGAGAAATTAAAGGCAAGCCAGGCCCAAGACTATGACTCCAACTCTGATTCTAAGTCATACAAATCCGCTAGTGAGGGGGAAGGATTTGGGTCTTCTGACTCTGAAAAGACTCAAGACTCCCCTTCTAAGGTGATTTCTTCTATATCTGAAAATCTAGAAACTAGGTTTGTTCTGGTTGGGTCTATTAAGGATGTAGAATTACCTGAGTTACGAAGGAGTGGAGGTAAAAAGAATTCTGGAAAAAGAAAAAGAGAGAGAGAGAGAGAGAGAGTGCATGTGGTAAAGAGAGGGGAAATGGAAAAAATAGTGGTTGATCATTCACCCACTGCTGATTTACATGTGCCTGCACTCTGTGGGGTTGAACAAGAAAGGGTAGAAGAGAGTGGCAAGAAGTCAGGGGGAAGTGGTTCTGGTGAAGCTGCTGAGGGGCTGGTTAATCTAAGCACACAGGGAGATGAACCTAGTTCATCTACTAAAGAGACCCTAACAAACCTGCTGAAAAAGGTTGGGGCAAGCTATTATCCAAAGAAACAAAGAACTCCCACACCGAAGGACCCCAGTGTTCCTAAACCCTCCAAGAAAAGAAAGTCTCCATCCCCAACAACTACTGAATTTTCATTGCCAAAGGGTAGGGCTACAAGAAGCAGGGTGAAGTAGAGTGAGAGTGATCTCCAAACACTAGCTGGGAGTAAGAAGAAAAAGCTGGCTAAAGGAAAAGGGAAGGTTATAGAGTCCTCAGAGGCTGTGGAGGTTGAGGAGATAGAACAGGTCCATTAGGAGGAAGTTCAACCAGTGGAGGTTCAGACACCCAAGCCCAAAAGGCCCAAGACTTCTTCCAAGAAATCTTCCTCTGTGTCTGAGGCTGCTGAACCTTCACTAGCCAAGAGGACAAGGTCTGTAGTGAAAAGTAAACAAGTGAAAATTTCTAAAGATGAGGAATGGAGTGGAGAAGAAGTAGAAGATGATTGTGATGGTGAACAAGACAAGCTTGCCATGTTTGGCAAAAGAAAGATTTTGAAGGGTAGACTGCTGAAAGACTTGGTGGAGCCAGGAATGATGAGATTGGTGGATGCCTTAGCTGCTCAGGTGTAGAAGGACATGGTCCTTCAGATGGATGGTAGGCTAGCCAAGAATGAGATAATTGAGTCTATGGCAAATGTAGAGGTTAAGGATGGCAAGGTTAGCAACCTGGTGAAAGGAGTTCAAGTGTCCTTTGATGCAGAAAAACTGGGAGAGATCCTTGATATACCCTCTGAAGGGTTTGATGACTATACAAGGCAAAGGTGGCCTTGTCTAGACTCCCTTCTTACTGCCCTTGAAATTACCAGGAGGTTTTGTGATGCTGAAGATGTGAATGAAGCCAGGGCTGTTCAGAAAAGTGAAATGAGGCCTCAGCACAAGGTCTTGTTTGAATTTGTCAATAAGTGCATATTGCCCAGACAGGAGAGAAGGCATATTGCCAATTATATGGACCTAGTTCTTATGGAGTGCCTGGAAAGTGGGAAGCAGATTAATTGGCCTGCCTTCATCATCAAGCTGCTGGACAGGGTTCATAAATGGCTCCAAGGCTCATGCTACCACCTATGGCTTTATTCTGACTACGATTCTGGATGGGTGCAGTGTTCCTCTGAAGAAATGGGAAATGACCTCTAGCATGGATCATTTTGGCATTAACGCTATGATTGTTTGTGACTACTTAGTTAGTGCCATCCCAAATAAACCTGGTTCATCCAAGAAGACTCCTATCAACAGCAAAGTCAAAGGCTCTAGTTCAAGAATGTGAAGCCAAGGATGCTGAGATAGCTAGGCTCAAGGCTTATGTGGCAGAGGTGGAATATGAGAGGGATGCTCTCAGAACTGAGCTTACCAAAGAAAAGGAGAAGAATGATGGAATTCTTCATAATATGCTGAATCTTTTCCAAGCCCAAAACCAACCCTCTAGCTCCCCCCAAGCCTTAGGAATCCTAACTTTTGTCTACTGAACCTGTCTAGTACCTTCAATGACCCAGATTAAGGATTTTTATATCTTTTTGCTCATGCTTTAAATGTTTTTTGCTTTCTGGTTGTGGATTATGGTAGCAACATATCTCTATCAATGATATCTATTGTTTCTTCTCTTGTTCAATGTTAATCTATCCTTGATAGTTTAAATATGTTTGCTTGATTACTGATGATTAAACTATGATTGCACTTGCAGTTGCCCCAGTGTCCATGAGTACTTATTAAAATCTGGGACTCACACTTTGTATGCAACTTTTCGATAATGACAAAAGGGGGAAGAGATCTTGTGTTTTACATATTCTGAATAAGTGATATTTATAACCTAATTAACCTGGTCCGTGATGATAAGTGAAATTTCTAAACTTTGTATTGATGGTAAACTGAGTTCTTACAGGATCCAAGTAAGTTAAAAGCACAGAGTTTGTCATCATCAAAAAGGGGGAATTTGTTGGCCCAAGAACAGGTGAAGTTTTGAAGATTGACAAAAGAACTCAGATATGGACAAAGTTCATCTTGTGAATCACAGTCATGATCAACCTGTACATGTGAGAGGCACGTAAAGGAAATAAATCTAACTGATCAAGAAGCAATATCTCTTGATCTGATCGAAAAGGTTGCATATTGGATAAGGAGAGAAAGACTCCTTACATAAAGAGAACACAGTTTCGGATGAAGATAGTGTTAGAGTTTGAGATCACCATGAACTCTTATATGATAGAAGAGTAGCAATTGAATCTCAGTCAAACTCTGATTACTAACCTATTAAATGTCAGTGTTGTTCTCTTTTACAGTTAATGCACATAAGCGGAAGAAAAACTTAAATTGAGAGCAAAAGAGCAAGGCAATTTTGCAATCAATTTATGTGTGATTTGAGTGTGCAATCCTGAAGCTACTTGAATGAGATAGAAGAACCAGTTCCATGTGTCTATCTTTTATTCTAGTTCAATTGTAGTAGGTGATTTTACATTGTACCTTTCAGCTTTCATAGAAGAAATTGTATTAGGTACCTAGAGTGTTCAAGTTAGAGCTAACTTGAAGTTATCACAATATTGAGGCTGTGTGCCACAATGGTATTAGAGTTAATACTTAGGTTTACAAAGAGTTTTGTAAATGTTATTTTGGCTCACTGATTTTAGTGGAAGTTTGGGAAAATCCTACTGAGTAGTAGGTCGTAATTTTTCACCTTTTGAGCCAGGTGTTTTCCACGTAATAATCTCTATGTTCTTTATTTTCTGTATTTATTATTCCGCAAACAGTAGTAGTTGGAACACCTAGAAGAACCAGGTTCTTCTATAGTTCAGTTAAGCAAAAATTGGGTACCACACAAATCCCCCTCCCCCTCTTATGCAGTATTGACGCTTAAAACATCACTTTGATTCTCATGTCATCCCTCCTTCAGGTACTCCTCCGTTCTCTTCCATTTCTTCCTTGAACCCTTCAGATGATTCCTCTCCTACGAATGCTCGAGCTGAAATGCTAGACTCTACTTTCTCTGGGGCCGTTGATGAGCCAATTTAGTGACCAGTGGCTAGAGTCGTATGCACAAAAGAAGCTTGTATGGTTGTTTAGTTATTTTACTTCAGTACTTCTTTTCTTTTTAGGTTTTTAGACGTTTGTTTTGGGAAATATCATGAGTATTCCGGGATACTTTGATTGTTTGTTAGGAATCCTGTGAAAGTTTTGGGATACTACGTTTTAAGCCTCCGGGCCGCAAATGATCATTTCACTGCACTATGTATAAAATAATATTTTGATTTTTATTCTACTTGTTGAAGCACTTTGGTTCCCTAATAATGCTAATGGATTTATACGTGCTTGATCAAAACAAAGTGTTGCATAGGGTATGACGTCTAATCCCCGTCTTAGGCGTCAAATTGATTTGTAGAACATAACCTTAACACAAAATGAAGATATATCTTAAGTGAACGTGATGTTATCATTATAAATTTGTAGGGGATTTGTGACTAAGTACGTAGGTTAGAAGAGAGGGTGACCCGACCTTGACATAGGGATATAATTTGGGGGGCGATTGCCATTGTATATAACTTTCTAGAAATGACTTATTTAGATCCATGCTATGGGATGGGGCCGTCTTGATCGCCTGATCATGGCGGACACCTCCCGATTGTAGTTTGTTTCGGAGTTCCTTCTAGTGGTATTTGTTTGGGGTCCCAAACTTGTATTTTGAGCTTCATAGTCCTCTAGTGTGCAAGTGTTAGGCTCTATGATTGGATTGATATTCTAATTATCTTCTTTAGGGTGCTTAGCCTTTTGCAATTTCTCCATCTGATGGTCTTATTCCTATAAAAGAAAGCAAAATGGACAAGGGGTTCTTTTTAGACGAAGATGGCACATAAACCTTTTTTTAGTTAGATGTTGCTTGACTATGGCAGGGAACTCTTTAAGATTCTGAAATTTTTGTCAATAGTCAGCATAGTCATTATTCTACCCGAGTATTCTTTTTGCTCGCCATCTAAAAATGTTAGTTCATATATAATAAAAGTAATTTGTAATGAATGAATTAAGGGAGAAAGAGAAATTGTCGTGGTTCTAGATGTAGAAGTAGTAAATCACATTCTAGTTTGACTTCACGGGTTTCCCATCCATCTCTTCAAGCTTGTAAGATTCTTTTCCGGTTACTTCTATGATTTGATATGGTCCTTCTCAGTTGGGTTCGAGCTTTCTACATTCGGCTCCTGTATTGCGGAGAACATACTCTGGAGTACATAGTCCCTAATCTTGAAGTGTCAGAGGTTGGATCTTTTAGTATAATACTTATCAATCTACTGCTTTCGGATAGCCATTCGGACTAGAGCTAATTCTCAGTATCCCTTGAGCAAGCCTAATTCTGCAGCTAGTATTTTGTTGTTGGATTCCTCTAAAGCATGAGTGAACCTTAGGCTAGGTTCCCCCTATTTCTATCAAAAATGAGTGCTTCAGCACTATACACCATAGAGAATGAGGTTTCGTGCTGGATTTTGTTGTTGTTCATTAAGCCCAAAGTACTCCAAGCAACTTATCCGACCAATTCTGTGTAGACACTTCCACTTTGTTCTTTAATGAATTCATCAAGATCTTGTTGGACGATTTCACATTTCCATTTCCACTTTGTTCTTTAATGAATTCATCAAGATCTTGTTGGACGATTTCACATTTCCATTTCCACTTTGTTCTTTAATGAATTCATCAAGATCTTGTTGGACGATTTCACATTTCCATTTGCTCCTGGGTGGTACAGTATCAAGGTAACCCTCTTAATCTTCCATTCCTCAAAGAATTATGTTATTTTGTTCCCGACAAACTAAGGCATGTTATCACATGTTATATCTTTTGGTACTCCAAATATACAAATAATATTATTCCATATGAAGTTTATGACTTCCTTTTCTCGAACCTTAGAAAATGCACCGGCTTCTACCTACTTGGAGAAGAAATCATGAGGACCAAAAGGAACTTTATACTTCTTAGAGCTTGTGGCAATGGTCCCACGATATACACTCCCTGTTTCATAAAGGGCCATGGAGCAATTATTGAATGTAAGGTTTCGGCAGGCTAGTGCAACCACCGAGCAAAACACTAGCATTTCTCACATTTTCCTACAAATCTGTTGCATCTTGTTTCATCTAAGGCCAGAAGTACCCGGTTGTTAGCAGTTTTTATACCAAGGGTCTCTCACTCGAAAGATTTCTGCAATGGCCTTCATGTACTTCTCGCATCATATAATCGGTGTCGTCTGGTCCCAAAGATTTGGCTAATGGGACATTGTAGATTCTTCGATATAAATTATTTGACACAAGGCAATACTTGGCAGCCTTGTGTCTAGCTCCCGAGATCTCTGCTTATCTTCTGCCAATATTCCATTCTGGAAATAATAAATGATTTCACCACGCGACTCATGAACTAGAAGAGCCATGTTCACCTCATCCCGATGCTAATCTATGGTGGAGTAAAATAGACGAAGCACCAAATTTTTACTAGATTCAGTGACAATCGAAGCCACTACGAGCGTGGCCAGGGCATCTACTTCGACATTCTCTTTTTGAGGTATCTGAATGGCTTTTCATTCTCAAATATAACCAAGGAGGTAAGTAACTTTGATTTGGAACTGTATCAACCCCAAGTCTCGAGCTTCATAAAGTACACTATACTTGATTGACCACTAGTTGTGAGTAATTTTTTATTATATATGTTTTGCTCCTAGTTCCTGGGATAGTTCGAGACCTGCAATCACACCCTTATACTCTGCTGCATTTTTAGTTATAAAATAATATTTAATAGCTCGTCGTACCATTTTTCCAATAGGAATGATAAGTATGACACTAAACCCGCACACTTTAGCACTCGAAGAGCAATATATGTATAGGGTCCAGAGTCTCGGTTCTGTTCCGGAACCTATAATCACTTCTTTCTTAGCTTGGAGAAGTATACTCGCAATAAAGTTAGCGACAAAATCGGCTAGGACTTATGACTTGATAGCAGTGCGAGGTTGATACATTATATCAAATGCGCTTAATTCGACTGCCCATTTGGCAAGCTATCCAAAGAGTTTTGGTTTATGAAGAATATTCCATAATGAGAAGGTGGTCACCACGGAGATAGGGTTACACTAAAAGTAAGGCCTTAGTTTCCGGAGGCCATTATCAATGCTAAAGCCTTTTTTCCCGGTGAGGATACTTGGTTTCGACATATATAAGTGTTTTACTAACATAATAGATTGGAGCTTGTGTACCTTTGTCCTCTCGTACCAGCACAACGCTTATAACAGCTTCCGATATAGCTAAATACACCAGCAGTTGCTATCCTGGTCGAGGCTTGGATAAGAGTGGTGGGTTGGATAGGTACCTCTTAAGGTCTAGTGGTACTTATTGACACTCGGGAGTCCATTCGAAGTCTTTATTCTTCTTTAGTTCCACAATGATTTTGTGGCATTTTTTCGAGGAATGAGATATAAACCGGCTGAACATTAATATCTCGTCAATCGAGATTAGCTATTATTTTCTATTTAAAACTAGGAAACCAAGAAACTTACCTACTCTGAAAGAGCATTTCTCTGAGGTTAGCTTCATGTTATATTTTTGGAGAATGGTGAATGCTTCCCTTGGGTTATTCAAATGATCATCTGCTTATATTGATTTCACTAGTATATCATTGGCTAATGTAGACTTGTATGGACTCCCTGATGTGGTTTTTGGACATTTGGGTGACGAGCCTTTAATATGTTGCCCTGGTATTTTTAACCCGAATGCCATGATGCTGTAGCAATATGTCTCCCGACCGGTTATGAAGGATGTTTTCTCCTGATCCCCCGGTTCCGTTTTTATCTGTTTATTTTTGGGGTAGGCATCCCAAAAACTCAGCAGTTCGTGTCCTGCTATGGAATCTATAAGCTGGTCAATATTTGGCATGGGGAAGGAATCCTTTGGATAGGCCTTGTTGAGGTCTTTTTGTCATTATTTTTAGGTATTACCATGACATTGTCTAACCAATCTAGATATTTTACCTCTCGGATGAATCCATTTTTAAGCAATTTGGCTACTTCTTCCTCCACAATTTTATTCCTCGAGGACCCATTATTTCTCTTTTTTTTTCTTAACTAGGTGAGAATTAGGATTGACATTTAGCTTATGAGTCATTACCTCAAGTGAAATTTCCTTCATGTCTGCATGAAACCAAACAAATCAATCAGGGTTATCGCGTAAAAATTCAATTAACTTATGTTTCTGTTTGGGGGTCAGCCTCGAACTTATGTAAATCTTCCTTTTCCGGCCAATGGATAAAAGGATCACTTCCTCCAATTCTTCAGTATAGAGTCAGTGGCAGTGTTCTTTTTTGGTTCGACAATTTGATCTTCAGTGACCGACCCACCTAGTTTTGGAACATGTTGTTATAGTCACTATTTATCTGTTTCTTACTTGGGAATGATATTGGTAGCCGTAATTGAATTAACTTCCCGGACTGTTCTCTGTTCCCCGTAAATTTTTCTATTTTCCCATGGTGAAAAAAAATTATTACTTGATATGGGATTGAAGGTACTACATCCATAATATGTATCCATGGTCTCCCTAGGATGACATTATAAGCCATGTCTCTGGCCATGACTCAGTGTAGAGTTTCCTATGTTACCCTTCCTGCGAAGGTCCTCAGGGTGATCTCGCCTTTGGTCATCTCACAAGAGTTATTGTATTCGGAGAGTAATGATGCTTTTGGAATAATATGATCCACAAGTTGTATCTCCTTAACCACTCGCATGTGGATGATATTGGTCGAGCTACCTGGACAAACTAAAATACGTCTAACATCAGTTTCATCAATTTGTAAAGTAATTATTAGTCCATCATGGTATGGCATGATCAGTCCATCTGCATCTTTGTCATTAAAAGTGATTTCTTCTCTGGCCAAGGAATGTCGGGTAAGCTTTATTGATACCCAATTTTTTCCGATATATTTTCAATATGCAAAATAACTTCAAAATAGCATATATATGCATATATAAGCAAGTCCAAATATTTTATTATTTTCTCATAATTTTTAAGGTTTTGAATTGATTTATTTTTCCCTTTTTTATCCATAAAAAGCCCAATAATTATTTCCAAAATTATTATTTTTGATAATTCATCTATTGGATTTTCATATTTATGCCAAATTGTGGCTAAATAATCTTTTACATATTTTTACAAATTCATTTAGTATTTTTAAAGCTAAATTGCACATAATTGTAATATTAGCCATTTTAAGGTTTAATTGTGTCTTATGTTCATAAAATTGAGTCTAGTACTTTTAAATTGTTAATTATATGTTATAAATTATTTTAGTATTTTCAATTTATTTTCAGAAACTATTTGCTATTTTTTTTATAAAAAATAAAAAGGAAAAAGTGGCTATTTAACTCGTAGCTACATCTGGCTTTCAACTATAACCCAAATCAGACCCCAATTCCCAACCCAATTATACCCACCGGACCAGGCCCAAACCCAATTTCATAAACCGACCCACCTACTCCTTTTAATCTAGGTCGTTGATCATTCAGATCAACAACCACCATTTCACCTACCATTTTTAAACCTAAACGACCTCTTTGCCTTAAGTCATTTCTCACCACTCGCCGCCCTTGAACCCCTTCCTCTCAAACTCTCTCTGCAACTTCACCTAAACCCTAGTCGTCGTTGCCCAAATTCCCCTAATCCCTTTCAATCCCTACCTAATCCATGGACTCCTATGGCGGTTTGAGGCATGTACTCTTCAAAATACCCAATTCCCAAAAGGAAATGAGTCATTACACCCAATGAATGTCGAAACCCAGACTCCTCTCCGATGGAAGGGGGAAAAGGGGGCGCGACAAGCTTCTCACAGGTGATGAATATCTTTAAAAGCTTCTTTAAGGCTGTGTATGTGATACCATGCACTGTTTCGCCTCCAAAAATACACTAACCATTCTCTTTGGAGATAGATCCTAAGGTGGCTCTTCCTTTATCATATTCTTCATATACGACAGATTCTTTTTTCAATAAATGTTTGGTGAGTATCCCTATTTGAGGAGACAATTCACCTCATTTTGTAGGACTATGTAGTTGGTAGTTTTGTTGCTGCGACCATTATGGAATTCGCACCAAAACTCCTGGCTCTGCTTATTTAGATATATTCTTATCTCCTTCGGCCATCTCACTTTGTCCCCATGTCTTCTAGTACCGCTACCAGTTCAGTGGTGCTAACATTAAAGTTATAGTCGACCAGATTTGGTCAGAGGTGGTAGTCACTGATTTTTGATGTTTTTGGTCCGTTTCTTGCTCGATGGGGTACCGTGTCATTCCTTCGTCCGGAGTTTCTTTTATTACGCCATGATCCTGGCTTCCGATCATTTTTCTGGTGCATGGGTCTGGAGTAAGGTTCATACCGGTTTGTGGAATTTCGATGTCTGGGCTCGTCTTGTCTGTGAACTGCTTCAGAACGACTGTTCTATCATTTCCTCACTTTGAATCCTGGGAGTAGTAAGATATCAACTTCTATTCGAAGTTTAGTGTGGTATCTGTGGGACACAACGTTCCATATTTTGGTCAGAAACTCCCCTAGGATTTCTTTGAAGCTTCGAAACAGTTCGGTTTACATTTTCTTGTAAAAATCATAGCGACCCAATTTTTCAGAACCTCAAGAAGTAGAATCCATTCCCTCTAAAATCGACAGATAAAATCTCGAGGCTACTCCTTTCTTCCTTGCATGACTTTAAAGATTTCCTTAACTTGCTTCTTCACCTTTTGGGTTTCGGAGTGTGCTTTGATGAAAGCATCTTCAAGTTCAACAGAAGAACTAATAGAATTTTTAGGTAAGTGAAAATACTAGGTTAAAGCTTCCTCTGTTAGGATTTTTTCGAACTTCTTGACGAGCATTAATCTGATTTGTCCTTCGTGAGGCCATTCCCCTTGATCCCGGTCATACAAGCCATGACATGATCGGGTGGGTCCAGGTTCTATCGTATTTTGGGATGTCCAACATTTTAAACTTCTTAGGGATCGACAGTGGGGTTGCACTTGGTTTCGTTGTTGTTGAGAGTATTTGCTTATGTCGATCCCTTTGACAACAAGCGGGACTCCCGGGATCGGTTCAATGCTCTTGTTATGTTCCTTGATCTATTGCTACAGGTAGGGGTATTCATAAAAACCCGAAAAATCGAACCAAACCGACCAAAAAAACCGATATTTTTTGGTTTGGTTTGGTTTTGATTTTGAATTTAAAAAACCGATCAAATTTGGTTTGGTTTTGGTTTCAATCAGAAAAAACCGAACCAAACCGACTATAGGAGTAGTTATTTCAAATTTATNCTATTTCAAATTTATTATTACACATATATATATATATGTATATTTTTATACAAAGTTTCAAAAATTTAATGGTAAATGTTAATAGTTTGCACTTTTAGTATAGTTCTTTTCCTTTACATTCTAGTTTGATTGGTAATTTTCTTTTATTANCAATGGTAAATGTTAATAGTTTGCACTTTTTAGTAAGTTCTTTACCTTTATATTCTAGTTTGATTGGTAATTTTCTTTTATTAAGTGTAAGAATCCATTTCGTGTTAAAAATAACATATTTTAATTTAGTCCTTAAATTATTCATCACTATTTGATTCAATTATCATCAATATATCTTGGTAAATAATAGATTTCTTAAAGGGCAATTGATTTGATAGTGTCATGTTGAATATGTGGTCGCCGGAATATGTGTTTGGTAGTGTATGTCTTATATTTAAGAAAAACCGACAAATAACCGAAAAAACTGAAAAACCGACATAAACCGAATCGAGAAAAAACCGACTTAATTGGTTTGGTTTGGTTCTAATATTTAAAAAACCGACTTACTTGATTTGGTTTCTTTTAAGGGAAAAACCGATCCAAACCGAACCATGAACACCCTAGCTGCAGGGTTAGTATTAAATTTTATAATCCAGTATTTTCAGATGTAACCGACCCTCCGGCCTCGGAATTATGAAATTCTAACTTTTTAAAATACTACTATTATTTAGTTTTTTACTATTTCATTGTTGAGAAAAAGCATGTTGTAATCTAAAATACTGTAATTAAAGTATATTTTTTCGAAAATTTCGACCACGATTAGTCTAATCGTTTTTCGGTTGATTTTAGGTCAAAGAGGATTCTCTATATAATTTATTAAGTGAAAGGGTACTGTTTCAAACCTCAGAAAGTTAAAGGGGCTAAACAGAAATCTCCCAACATAAATTCATTGAGAAAGAAAAAAAAAGAAAAGAAAAAAAAATCTCTTACTCGAGCGCGCGTTTCTATTATTTCAACACTTGCATTCAAAAATTGAAGTTTTTCTAGGGTTCTTACATTGGCTCCAAAAAGTTTCAGTCCTACGGCTCAATTTTTAAGGATTTTATCTCTAATTCTTCGAAAATTCATAGTAAATTCATATCGTCAATTTCTTCCCAATACTTTTTCCTCTTCTTGGATGCTTAATTGAAAAAGGTATGGTTCGAATTGTGAAACGTGAACCTGTGAATACTCGAAGTAGCGGCGGAGTATCGGCGAGCACTAGCAATGGCCATAACGACGGTTCTGTAGAGGTAGAAGCTTCTGGACGACGTCGTTTAGTTCTTCCCGAAGAAACTACGATCTTAAAACGCGAAAAAGTTAGCACTCGTATTCGTCAAAATAGAGGAGCACAGAGTAATGGAGGAGTATCAACAGAAGAAGACACTGTTGGACTACGCAGAGTTCTTCGATCTCATTATCTCTCCGTTAAGTCTCGTATTTCTGGTAATTTCTCTTCCTCTCTCTCAAAGTCTTTTTATTTTTTTATGTTTATAAAGTGTGACCTTATTTTCCTTGATTTTGTGAATATATCATTGTGTATATACTATGTAAGATCTACGCATGCTATAGTAGCCCATAGTTTTTATTAGTGATAGTGGAATTAAAAAACCATCAAATAAATCGGCAATCAGTTTAAAAAATAAAGAGTGAATTTTGAAATATGTGGTCTAGAATAAGTTACTGACATTTGTGTGGTCCTAAGTCATCTCATTAAGGTAAAATTGGAAGTTTAGATTTGAATTGTTTCGAAATATAGAAATATCCCGTGCTTTCTTGGATAGACTGAAAATCAAAGTGTGCCACATAAATTGGAAAAAATGGAGTATTAATGTAATAGTTGGAAAGTTAGTTCAGTGGAGAAAACATCGTGTCACAATTTCGAACTGGAATAATTTAATGAATTTAAATTATTAAAAGAAATGTTATTTGTAGGAAAAATCAAATTGTCTCAACATTTTGAGACGTTGAGAAGTGAAGAATATGTCATGTAAATTGTAACGGAAGAAGTACTTTTATATTATACATGTACACTCACACAAATTTTGTTGAGCCGAGAGTCTCCTGGAAACAGTCTCTCTATCCTTTTCGGGGGAGGGGTAAGGCCGGCGTACACTCTACCCTCCCCAGACCCCACTAGGGATTTTACTGGGTCTGTTATTGTTATTGACACTCACACAAATTAAAATATCATAGTCAAAGAAAAGTTCAAATAGTTATTGTCGTGAAAAATTGGGACAAAGAGTAATTTATATGTGCAGTTTAATGGTTCCTATTTTTCATTGAAGTTCTGTTATGTACTTAGCAAAGGGTTGGTTTCCCCTCTGTTTTTTAAAGCTGCTTTTACCGATGAAAGGAACTTAATGTTTGTGTTCTTTGGAGGCTACTGTTGCTGATTGATTTCTCCTCTGTGCTAAAAGTACTCCGCATTTTTTATTATACATTGTGGTTACAGATTTTCTATAATGGATTGTAATTGGTCTAATGCCGTGCTTGCAGATGAGAGAGATGATATATCAAAAGTTGATTCAGATAAATTCAAGTCAATAATTGAGGAAGTCGAAAGACTACATCAACGTGGTACTGATTCAGTGTCTTGCTTTTTGGCGTACTGATACTATCTCTAGTTAAATTTTTTGCTTGTGAAGAGATGCATGCTTATGTCGTATTGTCATTTGTCAATTGGGTGCCCTCCTCCCTAACGTATTGCCCACTCTGTTTTTGGAGAGTTCAGCAAATGTTTTGGTTATGCCTACCAAGGTGCCTAGAATTTCGGATGAAGAATTATCTGTGGAAAAATTTCTTGCATCCTCCTGGGATTGATATTACGATTCTTTAATCCTCATTTCAGTATTTTATTCTTATTTATGTTGAAAAGTTAGGGTTTCAACTCTGGTGGTGTCTCATCAAATAAAAGTCTTGTACTGTATCCATGGTATTTTTGAGCTTGTAAAAAAAAAATCTAATTATTTGTGTGAAAACAATTACTAAAATTTATTCTAAGTGGTTGGAGAGCTCAACTTTGCTTCCCTATCCCCCAATTTCAGTTTCACGTATTTTGCATCTTTTCCTGTCTGAGTATGATAACAAATTAAATTACTCTGCTTCTCAACATACCTGAGGTAAAGATGACTGTTTGCAAAATGTGTTCTTGTTTTTGGCGAGCAGATCCGATGGACCTTTTGATTATTTCCTTCGAACTTCGAGTCTGAACAGTTCTAGCTTGATTATAGTTTAAGGTCAACATTTTGGATGTATTTAGTTTGCCGAGGATCGCAACAATTAAGCTAATCTTTTTGGGCATATCAAGATGCTTTATTTTGAATATTGATGATCAAATGTTCTGGCTTCACTTAATGGGTTGTATTTTAACTGGTTGACATACAGTACAAAAACCTAGGGAACAGGTTGCGGATGCAGAAGCCCTGTTGGACATCACAAACACACTGGTGACTTCGGTGAAGGCCCATGGTAATGAAGGAGTGACCCCTTCAGATTTTGTTAGTTGCCTACTAAGGGACTTTGATCAAGAAGGTGGATCTAGCAGTATAACAGGAGAGGATAGGGACTCTATCCGCTGGAAGTACATTGGCTGTGTAGTCTCTCATGTTTTCAGGAGTGCTCCTGGTTGCTGTACAATGTAGGTGCCGAATCCTCTCCCTTGTTTCCTACCAATTTGTATAACAAAACAGATGTGAATATTGAACTTTTTACAGGATAGGGCCTATGAATACTGAAGTGAAGCAACGCATGCCTGTCGTTCACAGAAAGCGTGTGAGGCCAACAGAAAGTGAACACCCTGAGGAGGTATAACTTACATGCCCCTCTGCACGCTTCCATATAGAGTGGATTTAGCTTCAGGAAATTGCACTCATCTTAGGTGCCTTTATCAAAAGATGGTATATACTTCAAGCTAGAACATACAACGTAATTTTGTCTCCAACAAGTTTCTTTTTGAATATTTGAAACCTTTAAGTCTATGGATATTTGGTGAATGCCCATAATATTTTAGCATTTTACTAGAACGGTACGTCTGGTAGCTAGATTGTTTCTGCATTTTCGGTTTTGTTTCCTCTCTCTTTTTTCCCATGCAAGTTAGTCATTTTTCTTTCAGCTTCTCTAAACCACTACCAACTAACCAAAATCTTTTATTGCTAATTTTAATTTTGATGTCAATTGCATTTTGATTTGTTGTGATATATTTCAGCTTGAAGATACTGTTGATGAGGAGAAGACAGACACTGACAAGAATATGGCTACAATGTTTCAAATTCTAAGGAAGCACAAGAATGTCAGGCTTGAAAACTTAATACTGAACAGAAAGAGCTTTGCACAGACAGTTGAAAATTTATTTGCCCTATCGTTTCTAATTAAAGATGGACGAGCTGATATTACCGTTGATGAAAAAGGCTGTCATCTAGTTTGTAAGTTTACCATGTCCATTTATTTCTCAAATTCATTTTACCTCTGCTTATTTGAGTACCAAGTTTTACTGCAGCACCAAGGAATGGTCCTGCTGCTAATGCAGTCCTTTCTGGGGAGGTTTCTTACAGCCACTTCGTCTTTAGATTTGACTTCCAGGATTGGAAGGTATCTACATAATCTCTCAATTCCTAAAGACCATATGGATGACTTAGAGCCTCTTTGGACATAAGAAATTTTTCCCTTTTTCCCAAAAAAATTTCACTTTTTTCCGAAATTATTAGCGTTAGTTCATAAAATTTTCAATTTTCACTTGAAGATGCATTTTGAAAATTTTCGAAAATTTGAAAAACTCCAAAACTTGTTTTTCAAAATTTTCACTCAAATTAGTCACAAAACTTCAAAAATAACCCAAAATTATATTCATGTCCGAACACAACTCTAAATTCCAAATACCATTTTCACTTGAAATTTTTTTTCACCCTTTTTTGGAATTTTACAATTCTTATGTCCAAACGCCCACTTAGTATTGGTTTCTAATTCCTTTTCAATGATATTAACTTGTTATTACCACTCAGGTGGTTCTCTATCTTCTACTAAAAAATGTGTATCCTTCACAACTCACTGAGGACCAAATTTGTAATGGCTTTATGTTTATGGTCTATTGCCAAAGATTAAAACGGCTTGGTTATCTAGCAAAAGTAGTCTTCAAGAAGTTTATTAATGACATTGTTGTATTTGCATAATATTACAAAGTAGGTGCATGAGTGATAGGGTCAAAAAGTAATGCCCAGTATAATCAATTTGTCATATAATTTTCTTCTGTCATATCAATGTGGAATGAATAACAATTTTTCTGTTTTCCCAAGCAGCTGTTTGTGTATAAGGATCGGAATAGTACAGTCTTGATACTCATTCTTGAACTTTTCAATCGCATGATATTTGATATGCCACTCTGAATTTGTTACGTCATATGCAGCTTATGTTGGGGACAGTTAATGCTGGAGAAGAATTAATGCCACACAGAACTGAAGCTGAGATACCAACCAATTTTCAACCAGCATCAACCTCTGAAGCAACTGAACGACCTGTGCAAACTACACCAATAAGGAAATTGACTAGGAATCGGGGTCTGGTTTTTCAAGAGCAGAGTGTTGTTGAAGAATCCCCAGAAAGTGACAATTGCCAAGGAGCTGCTGCTGACCGGAAAGGAAAGCGAAAACTGATATAAGATTGACTGGCTGCAACTTGTCAACTCTGAAGTGATGCAGGAAGAGCATTCTGCTATTTTTGGGGGAATCCAGTATTATTTGAATTCGGCAGAGTTTTCTTTTTGGTTTCCCTTTGGACCTCGAGGTACTTATTTTAAAAAAATGTATCTAATGTAGAGTTACCAAATGCACATTCTCTTGTCTATTATCTAATGGATGATATTGTACAGATTTTACCGTTGAAGTCATGGTGTCGCAGTGGTCACTAGGGACCGTTATTTTTCTATATGGAAGATCAACATAGATACACTGCTCTTTAAATTCACGAATCTCACTCGCTTTATTAGCACGAAAAATATAGGCACAATCATATTGTTAGCACAAGTAGCAAATAAATCAATACCATCTTTTACAACTAAATTAAAAATATGACTAACATGGAAAATTGAGTCATAAAGTGGACAAATTCTAACTTTAAATTTTTTTGCTGCAGTGGTATTAGCATAAGCATTAGCTAATGTGATAGTTAAAACTTTATCAGTAAGACTACAAAATTGAATAATGTCTAGAACAGCAGCAGCAATATATGCTCCAGTGTGTTCTGAATCAATAAATTTTATAACCAATCATACGTTTTTGCATATTCTAGTTATGATCAGTTCAATGACATGTAACAGTTAAATAGTCATTGCCATTAGAACTACGACATATATTAGAAGTGATAGACATTTTGCAATCTAAGTGACAACACAGTGTATATACTGAAGATAGTCACTTTGAAATTTAAAAGTATCATTTCTAACTGTGGTTTTAGAAAAATCAAGATTATGCGGCTCTTGTATATAATGCACAAGCGAGGTGAGAAGGAAAAGTAAAAGGTAAGCCACATATTGCGGTCATTTTGCTATACTTTCACTATCTCTATCTTTGTTATAGGGACGTTGTAAATCACCAGTAGGAGCACCAAAAAGTACCGCTAGGATCCGGTATCTCTCCAACATCTATTTGAGCTTGTATCCATAAAATTGTGTTTAGTTTTCAAGTGTCCTTAACATCATCCCCCCCCCCCAATGCTTAGAACAAGTCGCAATGCATGCATCTTTATCAAAATTAAAAAACTTCCATACATGTGATATTCTCAGACGTATTGCCGTAGCCAGAGGCGGACCCAGAATTTTAGCACGATGGGACCATCATTGTATGCTAATCACTAGCGATAGAATTTGACATGCATCTCTTTGAAAACTTAATGATTATGATGACTTATCATCCAAGTATAAACAAAAAAAAAGTTCTAAAAAAGAAAAGAAAGCATCAAACAGAGAGAGAGAGATTTCTTCGCAAAATGGGTGCTATGTGAAGAGAAGGTGTTTGATTAAGCATGTTTCACACTTTAAAATTTCGAGTTTTTAATTAAAAAGGGGGTCAGCGATCAAAAGGGCGTTCAAACTTTAAATTATCAAAAACTTACTAAAAAAATCAAGAACAAGGGTATGTTGATAGTCAAAGAATTAGTTGTTAGTGCGTCAAAGTAAGGTTGTTGCAGAAAGATTTTTTTTCCTTCTATTTGTAGAGCGATAAGTTGCAATTTGAGACTTTTAATTTCAAGGAGAAATTTGAAAAAGAATAAAACAAAGTTGACTATTATGTATTAATGCTAAACTATAATTGAATTTAAAAATGAAGAAGATAAAAGTAAAAAGTAAAGTAATTTGCTATGAAGTATAAATTACGTTGTATTAAAATAAAACGAGGAGAAAATAAAGGAGGAGCAAAAGCTAAAGAGGGGGGCCGAACCCACGTCTTCCAACATAGGAGGGATTTTGAGCGACCAAAGCAACCACTTCTCCTGTCTGCGCTTTTCTGTTAAGGGTCACAAGTAAAATATTTAAGGGGTCCCATATATATATACATACAGAGTTTTTGCCGAGGCCAACGGGATTACGTGACCCCTCAACCAACAACGTAGATCCGCCTCTGGACGTAACCTTACCCCTAGTATGAGGTAAAGCTCCAGACCAAAATTGAGTCTGAGTTAGAGCTTCTAAAACTGGATTAGTGGGTATTTTATCTAATATATCTTCTTCATTTTCTTCTTCCTCATTAGTACCAAATTATTGCCAAATTGTCTTTCTAAAGTTTTATTATCTAGTGGCTCCTCTGAAATAATATAATAAAAGCCAGGCGATAGGCTAAAAGAAGTTTCATCAACAAGAGTACAATCCTCTATGCTTTTTCTATTTTTAGCAAAAGGAGTAGGATTACTACTAGAACTAGCACATTTATTACTTTTAAAAAAATATGTTGGGTATGCCTGATACCTTGGTAGGAGCCATAATTTAAATATAGTAAAAATTAGACATGAAACACGAAAATTAAGAGATGGAACGAGTGCACCGTAAACAAATATTAAAACTTGAACAATTTGCCCAAATACTTGCTCTAAATACTTGAAGAATTCGTTTAGCAGCTTGAAACTTGCTCTAAATATTTGCCTAAGTACTTGAAACTTAGATTATAGTGGGAAAATAGAGAGAATGATGGAGATAGCATATAAAGAGAGAGAGAATGATAGAACTAGAGAATTGTAGGAAATAATAAAGAAGTAGGGCGGGTATTTATAGTTAAAAGTAGGGCTAATGTGTAATTTAATAAACTTGAAGGTTAATATAAAAGTTTGAGGGGGGTGAGGGATGTTTCGGGGTTGGGGGGCTAAAGTAGCCCTTTTTCTTAACTGTTGGCAACGACTATTTTCTAAATATTAGCCGTCAGCCGACAACTAAGCAATTAAAAATTTATTGAATTTAAATTCATAAGAAAATTGAATTTAATCTCAAATTAAATATATTTCGGTCCACACTAATATCATGAGTTAATATAATTGGATTAATTATTCAAATCCAATAAATAGGTCCAGATGCATTGGGCTAACCCATTTAATTGGGCTATAAGTGATGAATCCACTTCATTAGACCCAAGATGTCATCTTCTTAGAGGCCCAATTTGGTGTCACGTGTCAATTGACATGGCACACAAGTCAAATGGAGGAGCCAATGAGATAATGCCACGTGTCAAAATGATAAGGCATGCCAAGTCAATAGGCCAATGAAATCATGCCACATATGCAAGTGACATGTTCTGGCCAATCAAATGCGGCCTTGTCACACTTCAATCTGATTGGTCGGAAAGATTTTGCTCCCATCACAACTCTTCTCTTCCACAACTATAAATAGGGGTCTTCATAACTCATAAAAGATACCAGAAGTCATAACAAGATGCAAGAGAGAGCTCGTGGGTCAAACGCAACAAATTTCTCTACGAGCTTCAAGCAATCAGGTTCAAACTCAAGAACGAAGAACAAATCAAGGTTCAAAGAGTACGAGTTCAAATCAAAGTTCGTGCTTGTTGAATTCAAGATCATCGTTTGTGAAAACAAGCATAAATTCAAGATCAAGCTCAAAAGCCCTTGAATTTATATTAGAAAAGAAGAATCGGAAGAATCATAGAGATTGTAACGCTCAAATTGTTTGAAATCAAATACTACAATTATTGTAATATTTTCAGTCTCGATTATTTTCTTGACCCAATTTTATTATCTACAACTATTTATATTATATTAAAAGCACGAAGGCCCTTAGCGAAATATCGTTCGCCTTTTTTACCCCTTTAAAGATAGATTTCATATTGGATAAAGTAGCCATTTAATTATTTTTCTAAAATTTAGGACTTTAAAATTAATTGTTAAAATTGTGACCATTAACTCTTTCTTTATTTGAATAAAGTAAGTCTCCTAATATTTAGGGATTTCAAATCAAATACCAATTTATTCATATAAATATCTTGACTAACGTTTAGTGCATTGGAATTCTAAGGTAAATTAAGTAATTGCACAAACTAATAATAAGGAGTACTTTACCTTTTTAGAGAGCATCCAATGTATACTGCATCTATATTATTTTTATTTTATTTTTCAGTCATTTCAATAAATTATCCTAATTATTTTTCTATATATTAAATAATTTATTATGGATTAACATTGGTTAGATTGCCTATTTCTTATCTTCAATATTTACAAATTACCCATTGTTGTTAATTTTTTTAAGATACTATTTTTTATTAAATTTTTGAGTTCTGAACATTCAATTGAATAATTAATGCAATCAACCAAATAGAAAAACAATAATGGTATTTACTAGCAACAAGAAGTTCTTATCGTTCATCTTCATATATGACTTATTACCACAACAAGAACAAATTAAAAGTCTGTAGAATAAAGATAAAAAGATGAAAATAAGAACTTATTTGATAATGTTAAGTAATGAGAGAAAACAAGAAGGAGAATCTCAAGACTGGATCCAAAGTTCTAATAATTCAAATTGTACGCAGTTAAATTATTCCAAGTTAATTAATAGTAATAATTTTGTTCAATAAGAATTTATCTTCAAAGGGTAGAATACTTACTTTCATACTAGACATAATTTTTATTTAATTATTTTTAAATATTTAAATTTTATAATATTTAAATATGTAAGGATTCTAACATTGGGGGTGGGG